ACCACCAGATCAACGTTCATAGGTCTCCTTCTGGCCAAGGCATACTCCAAGAGATAGTTTCGTACCTGGTGCACGTGCACAATCCATTCAATTCCAACCTGGGGCCGGTCTCTGTTCTGCTGAGGATTCGCATCGCTCGATACATGGAAGGTGCCGACAGTCTCTCTAGATGTCGACGAAGCGTCATGTTGGTCCTCCCTCGGAATCCTGTGGCTCTCAACTGTCGGCCTTTGCATGAGCGTGGAAAAATCATCCTGGTCATCATCTCCCCCTTCATGGGCCAACACCTCACTTGCCTGTCGGACCGCCCGATCAAACGAGAAGGTCAGGTGCACAGTGACAGACGCTGCCACCTGTCTGGCAACGACATCACTCATCGTCAAAGGTCGAAAAGGTACACAAGGAAAGGAAGGTATCCAATGCGCCATGATCTTCACAAATGAAGCAAAAGGCAAAGAAACAACTTCTTGGTCTGAGAAGACTTGCTGACAATGTCCATGCATGTAAGTCAGCATGCAGCGGGTCTCTGCGTCACACAGACAGCCAAAAGTCTGGAAAACTTGTCGAACTGTGATCGGGACAGCAAATCGCAGCGCTTGCCTGGACTGTTTGCCACTAAAATCGTGTTCCACCACCAAGATCTGAAAAGGTTGATCCGCAATCAGTGATGGGACAATGATCTGCACGCTGGCCGGATCAGGCTGGGTCAATTGGAAATCCTCTGGTTGTGGCACTACCGCATACATAAGAACATCGTCAAGGGCCGTTCCACGGAGTAGATGTCCTGTCTGATGCGCCCATGGAGTGCTATCAGTCAAACCCCAGGCAAAAGGTTGTCCAACAGTTTGTTGGTGGTCATGAAAAAGCCATCCTCTGATACTCAAACCAGACCCAAGATATCTTTGTCGAATAAAGTATTCTCGTACAGAATCTCGTCCAGAGTACTTCCAGAGGTTGTACATTTGCTGTTGATGTAGTCTAGCAGGAACCAACCAGGACAGTCCCATCTCAGAGCATCGCAACATCCGCTCTTGCGAATGGGCTGTGCAGCCGTCATCAGGCACAAGTCTCTGCTGAGACTGCATCATACTTGATTCATCATGGATCTCATCATTTGTTTCATGCAGAGGATGAGAGGTAAACATATCGTCAACGCTATCATGATGTGACCACTCTGTACGGGGGGACGGACTGCCACATGAAGTGCTCTGTTCCCTCTCATACTCCCACAAGAAAAGTTGCACGAAAATCCCATCAGTCAGCTCTACATCATGGTAAAAGGCCTTGCGATCACCAAGAATGATAGCATAACAGAGGTCAGATTCTCTGCATCCATGATCTGGCACTGCTAAGTCGAAAAAGCACGTCAACCCCTACTGGGGGATGCGAGGTATCAACAAGCATTGCAAGCAGATTTCTTCGATCTCCCTGCGCACGGCACAAGACAGCAAAATCTTCTTGAGCGCGCGTTTGCACAGTGAGAATATGCGGTCTCGGCAGGGCAATAAAGATCGGCGGTGGGTCAATGATAATATAGTTCAGGGAAGTCCCATGTTCAGGCTCACCATCAACAAAAAGACCTCTCTGAACATCAAATACAGCAATGGAGGGAAAGGGCTGTTTCCGCTCTCCTTGTAGGAACGACCATAGGGTAATCTCCAGACGGTCCCGGGTCCAGCCCCGCGCATACTCCCATACTCAATCGTGCAGCTGCATCAGGGTGGATTCTTCATCATCAGTCGTTGGCGGCGGTCGTATGAGAGTGCGAAAAGTCACCTCAGGCAGCGGACATGCCCTCACATTGATCTCAACGACAATCTTCATACCTTGGAAGGGTGTGCAAGAGAAGATCCTTGGCATCTCAATGCCTGAATGTGAGACAACACAGTCCAAAAAGGGGAGGGAACATCGGCTTTCCAATCCAAAGGACTGCAGGAGTGCCTCAGTCGTCATTCGAGGGGGAAGCTCAACAGGATGAAGGTCGACTTCCAAATCAGCTCGGGAATCCCAGACCGCTACCAAAGCCAGAACCTCATCAGTTCGAAGGTCTTCTCCAACTATGACGTAGAGGTCATCATGGCCATTCTGTTCGTGTACAGTGGGTAGCGGCTTTACAGCCGCCAGTATCACTCTTGCTTCTTGTGAGACAGGTGGTTCAACAAAATCCCGCAGTAATGTTTGCACCTCTTCTTTGTCAAAAGATGCCAGCTCGAGCAGACCATCAGTCTCAAGGTTCCAAAAAGAGATCTCATCAGCAATAACACCACAAAGAACAATGTCTGGCCATCTGCCTCTAGCAGCTCGGAAGGCCAGTGCCTCATCTCGCAAGTGGTCAAACTGTAGGAATCGTGTCAATCTTGCAACCCTGCGTCTCAACTCATGCCATCGAAGATTTTGCTGTATCACCATCTCAAATTGGTCCCCATCATCATTGACTTCAGATGTGATTGGAAGCCGCATCGACCTCTGATGGATGGCCGGCTGGAACAAGGTCATCTCATCTCCTGGTAGGGGTCCTAGTCCCCTATCCAGCTCACCATTTCTGCAAGCTTGGACCGCAGAGATGCGAAGCAGCATACTCGTTCCATGGAGTTCGTCAACGACTTGGTCAGTCAGCCAGTATCTCACTTCTCCATCATTCGACACTTCCAGATAGCACAGAGTACCTCTTGTCTGACAGGTCGACGTAATGCCCAATTTTTGGATGATAGAATGAAGGGTGCCCTCTCGCTCCACATGCACTGCAACTCTTTTCGGTAACGGCAATCCAATCACATCCAGGATAAAGGCTTTTTCACCTATATCCAGCTGCGACGTGGGCATTCCAATCAGATCAATCGAATAGGCGCGCAAAGAGAGTGGCTCAATCACCGGAAATGGGATTGTGAACCCCCATACATCGAAGCCAGCAACATCCTCCAGTTCGCCAATCAAGACCTTCGTAAATGACTTGTCAGGAACCCAAGCACATCTTCTGGCAAAATAGGCGACTGGAAAATGGGGCCTTGCCACCCCCCCACACGTACACAGTTGTCACAAGGTTACGTGGCAGTCCAAGTCTGTCACTTGCAAAGAGCCGGACCACATCTGGCCCCGCAGAGTCAAATTGACCAGCATGCACAATGCCAAAGTGGGACTGTGATTGTGGGAAATGAAGTTCATGAACAACCTCAGTAATGGCAATCTCTGCTTGCGTAAACAGGTGCATCAAGCCACTAACATCCTCCTGTTCCATCTCTGGGTCCTCGCAACTGCCACAGGATATACCAGAAAAATCTGAAGCATCATCATTCTCACCTGTTCCACATGATGTAGAAGTCCCAAAAGAAGAACCGCCACCATCATCATCATCATCATCATCATCTTCACCCCCAGCTCGAAGAAGCTGTCTTTCACGCAGAACCAGAAAGATCCCTTCATACAGTGGAACGTGTTCGCCCCATGTGTAAAGCCTGGCAGCAGCATGATTGCCTACGGCAATTGTGCACTCCGCGGCCCATACACACTGGTTGAAGGGCTCAATTCGCTGGAAGAACCACGACAGAGGTGGGAATACTGTAGTTTGGAAGATAAAACTGCCTCTTCGAGTTTGTTGCGCATCTTGATATTCAACTAAGGCCGGAACATACCTTGGATCACCAGGCGCAATCACCAGAAAATGTGGCATAATGAGCCCAAAATCATACGGTGGCGATCTGACAGGTGTCACCACGCAACTCCTCCTGCCAAGTATCCTTCCCCAAGGACTGCGCACAACGGCAGCACCCGGCAGTTGGAAATCAAAATGCACATCACGGATATTCGACTGCAGCCGTCCAAGCTGGTCCCAAGGGTGATACCATGATCTCACCACAACCGGAGTTCCAGCTTGCATAGTCTCACGGATGTATAGAGAGACCAAGTCCTCTGTTGGCGGTCCAACTTGCATCAGGCTAACAAAATCCTCATTGCGATAGTCCTCACTGCATGCTTCCACCAGACTTGTGCAGCCAGAAACATCAAAATGTGAGCTCTCCAATTCAGCTCTACGGAGTAAAGGTCCTTCCGGAGCATCGCCTCGGAGAAGGGCGAAGTCTTCTGCTGCCGATTCATCACGGCAAGGTGCATCAAAGAACCCCCCACACAAGACAAAGAGGAGGTCCATGATCCTTCCGGACAACAGTCACTCTGGTAGGTAGTCGTTGTCTCTGGGAATGCAAAGTGGCTAGCTCTCCATTCTGAATAACCATCCACAACATGTGACTGACAAACAAGAAAAAGAAGGAAGAGCCCAGTCTTTCTGTAGCCAGACTTCCGCATAGAGGCAGCTCTGCGTGTGATCTTCCTTACCGTTCTGCACTTGCCAGGCAAACCGAGACATTCTTCAAATCGATATCGCAGAAATATCCCAGCAAGGCAGAAAAGGATCCCGCAATTCTGACATATATTGAGACCCCGTAGGATATGAACACCGCAAAAGGGGTCATCTCGAATTTCGTGGACACTCTCAAGGAGCAGGAAACAGATCACTGCACTAGTTCCCAAAGCAGAGACCACGCTCCAAAGCATCCCGCTCGGTGGCAAGAGACTAAGCCTGTCCTTTCGATATAGTCGCTCACCAAGATGCCTTCCAGTTTCACCAAGACGCTGAAAGGCACAAATGATGCATAGAGACCAACAGACAAAGAAAAGCTGCATCGAGGACCAGCAAGCCATCTCAAGGAAAAGATCAGAACTCAATCCACTCAAGCTCCAATATTGCGTGAGAACGATTGGCTTACTGCTCCGAAACCGTTCAGTCTTCAGGTCTCCCCGTGAAAATTCACCTTTTCTATCCCCTCCAAATGAAAGTGATGAGGGAAATAAGAACTCGTTCATGAGACAAACCCCGGACGTCTCAAAGAAAGGTGGTGAAACAAAACTTTCGAAGTGTCGACACAAGTTGCAGCCTCCAGCCGCAGGTGGCAAACATAGACCAAGGTCCGAGATCCCATCCAGCAGATCAAGGGTGCAGAGCAAAGCTACAGGGAGACTCTATTGACGGAGGAAGGAAAGCGCTCCTTGGCTTTGGCGCCTTTTGGAGCGTCTGGTCGTCTACCTGCTGGCAGGCCTCCTGGGACGGGAGACACTGCAGATGCTCTCATCTCCGATGGCATGGATGTTCCTGTCCCTGCTGCGGCTCTCAGCGATTTGGATGCCTGATTGAGGGCATGCAAAGGGAATCTGTTAACCACATTGGCCATAGTGCTTTGGTTGGGTTCAAAGGAACCTCATGGTAGGAAACTTCTCTGGCTCGTTCTGCATGTTCTGCAAAAAGTAGCGCTGAGCTTCTTCTGACACACCCGTCAGGAGGTGCTTGACTTCCGCATGGTTCACCGGGTCCTCTACCGGAAGGTGATCGAGTTTCGACTTCTTGGCACCCTCTGGTGTAGATCTCGTCATTGGCGATCTTGATCGATTCATAGCCCTTTTGTGTTCTTTTGTGTTCTTCCACCCCAGCACCTTCGAATCTTGCAAAACTTGGTCGGGGATGTGGATGTTGCGGGGATTCCTTGGGAATAAAATCCCCACTCCGAGCATGCAGCGTATTCAACAACATAGCCACCTGTTCGGTGAGGTGTTGGTTCTGCCGTTCCATCTGAGCTGCATATGAAGCGAATTGACCCATTTGGTCTTTCATCTCTTTGAGTTCGTCCTGAACCACCTGGCGTGTCACATCGACCAGGGTTGGGTCCACATCCGATGGCTCTCCGTCCATCTCGGCATCGTTGAGCTCTTTCTCCTCCGCTGCCTTGATCTCCGCCTGGAGCTCTGCAAGCTCCTTGCTGAGCCTGCGGTCTTCCTGCGCCAATCCCTCTTGCATGTTGCGCTTCCAGGACTGGTAGCTGTTCTCCTTCTTGTGTAGTGTCTCTTTGAGGTTCTCGGCCCTGTTGAGAATGCGTCTCTCTTGGTTCAGCTGACGTTGTCGCTGTCGAATCTCTTCTCGTGGATCGACCTTGATCAAAGTTCGAACTGCATCCAAGTCTGCATCCTCTGGCTTCTCTGCTTGTAGCATGCGTCTGATAGCATCTTTGAGCTTCTGGTTCTCCTCTTTGATGCTGCCATCTGACTGTGAGGCAGAAGATGATCCAGATCGCTTTCCAGACTCGGCATTTCCCTTGAGCTCGACACGCTTGCCGTCGTGGGAATACATCACGAATCCTGAAGTCTCTGGCTTTCCTTTCTGCTCCTTGTTCATTGCTTCCAATCCTTCGCTGTCCACTTCTCTTGTCGCCATGACATCTCGTGGATCCCAGCTATCTTGTATCTGGGCCTCGAATGATGCCCTTCCAAAAGCAGTTGGGCAGTAAGGACCTTAGAAAGCAAGGAGGGTCGGAGCCAAGGCCTTTCCTTGGTCCTGCGCAAGAGCTGTCTGGCTCTGCTTCTTTGGAGCCGCTGGCGTCGATGCCACGATGGGGATCCAGCTATGGCTCAAGTGAAAAGCACCGTGCCACGCGGGCACTGGGGTTCAAGTAAATCCAGAAACTGGTGACCTTGAGCCCTCTTTCTTCGTGCAAGAAAACACTCATTCCAATGGAGTCGACGGAAGAAACAGAGGCTGCTGCAGTTGTGACCGAAAATTGATGCAAGCACACTCACTTCATTGCGTGTCATGTGGTGCGTGCGGCGCATGGCCGGTACAGTAAGGCTAAATGTTCATTTTGGTGTCTTTTTGGCGCTTTACTCTCAACATCTCTCAACCGTCCAACAGAATGAAGCCATCTTAGTGTCGCAGCTGCAGCTTGGAGAAGCGGCCACCACACGTCAGCTGCACTGTGTCGCAACCTTTGGAGGTTCAAGGGAGCACGCAAGGGATGTGCAGGCATGGCAAGCATGTGTAACACCTTTAAGGACCAGGACCTTGTTGAGTGCGGTGCACAAACGTCTGTGCCTTGACCGTTCTCTTTCTGCGCCTGCATTGGCATCAGTTTCTTCACAAGGGACCAGGACTTGCACAATGGACGCTGTTTGGCACCCGCTGCATCCTTAGGCGCTCCGGCTGCAAACCAGACTTGTAACCAACAATGAAGAAACCCTGTACTGTCAAGGCCCTGAATTCAGTGCGATGGACCACATCCCGAAAAATACTGTGATACTTATGTTGAAACAAGGCATTCGCCGTTTTACCACCTGCGGACCGAACGAAACTTGGGCCTCGTATGGGCGGTGAAAGTGCTCCTACATCCCACATGCCATCTTGTGTCATGGATTGAATGAACTTCCTGTAAACTCTGTCACGCCCCCTATGGCCTGTGGGATGCAGTGGGCACATGGCTTGACAGTCCTCACGTTCGATGACTGAGCCAGGTGGCTACAGTCGTGAGTGTGGTAGCAACCACCTGTACGTGTCATCCACCATTCCTTTCTCTCAAGCGTGAATCTTGTCGACTCCAGCTTCTCCTTCACCACTTCATTCGCTTGGGTCAGGATCTCTTTTGATCTCTTCTTCCATAGTTCAACAGCTTCCCAGGCCCGGGCACAATCCTCGGCCATGCGTGCCATTTCGACTGCATGCTCATCATCAGTGTCCTTTGACCCGGTCAGCTTCATCATCATGTTGTCTCTTTCTTCCTTGACCTTTTCCAGCTCAAAGCGGAGGTTGGTGCACATGTCATACATCCTGACGACCTCTCGGGACTGGATGTCTCTATCTCTTCGGATCTCCGTCATTTTCTCTTCTTGTTCAGCCACTGCCACTTCCAGCTGAATAATCTGCCATTGCATGTTCACTTTCTCTTGATCTTCTGCCTGCCATGGTTCTTCAGGCTGAAGTGTTCCACTCTCATCTTCATTTCTCACATGCGGTGTCACCGCTTGTCCACGATCACTTTCATCTTGCTTCTCCTCGATGGTCTCCTCGTTGATGCGTCTTCCATTCCACCGCGCCCTTGCTCCATCTATCACTAGCCGTGCCAGACTCAAGGCCCCAATCATTGCCAGGCAAAGCATGGTGATCAATGGCCGCATCCACCAGGATTCATCATCTTGGTCTTCATTTTCTGACTCTTGAACTTCAGCGCCTTTCCCGCCTTGTAGTAATGACAAGGCGATCACCAATGCTACCTTTGCATTCGCTCCCATGGCCTTTGCCATCTTGGTGGTGTTCTTCTTGAGCTCTTCCTTCAATTTGATCTCGTCGTACTCGGACTTCCCGATCTTCTCATCGTCACCGTCGACCATCCTGATCAGGTATTTGAGGCCGTTCATCCTTGCTTTGCTGAGGATCTTGGTCCCAATGTCACTTGGGTTCACTGCTGTTGGAATCCCCGTGATGCGCACTTCCTTGGAGTTGACTCGTTGTTGCAACCACAACAGTCCTGCAGCGATGTGCCTCGTCCGTCCAACTCCAATGCGTCCTGCCAGAGCTCTTGCTGCTGAGGAATCCGATCTGCAGACCATCTCGGCTTCTTCACCTGTCAGGAACTGCCAGCAGTGCCGAATGAAAATGCCTTCGCTGCATCCTCCAACCATAGCAACGTACTCACTTTCTCCACTCGACAGAGCGATTGAGCGCTGGCTCCTGACGTAGCTTTCAATCAAACAGCCGTTGAGGTAGATCTGCACCGAGCTCACGGACTTGCGACTGTCTCGCTGACCAGCGTAGTCTGCATCACAAATGACTTCCAGCATGCTCCTGCTCTCCTGGTCGATGTTCCATTCGTAGATGTTGTCATCCGTGTTCAACATGCACCGACCTTTGGCTCCATGCTCAAACAAAATGCCTTCATTCACGGTGCCGAGCAGGTAGGAGCTGACATGTTGCATTGCCCTCCAAGCCTTCTTAGTTGGGCATGACATCAAGCTTGCCAAGCCTTGAGCTACGTACTGGATGTCTGGCCGATCAGGTGCAACGTACAGTAGCTTGCCAACTGCACTCCTGTACTTGGTGATGTCATCCACATTCATGGGCTCATCCTCCTTGCTAAGTTTGTTGAAGTTCCCATCACCTGGAGTGGACCTGATCTTCTTTTGATCAACCTTCGTCAACTTGGCCAGATCCTTAATGCGCTGCTTGTCGGGGCGAATTGTGATGCCATTCTCGATGATCTCCATCTGTTTCTTCAAGTAACTAAACTCTCCTGATCGAAGTGGCCCACGTTTCTCTATCTTCCAGCCCTTGTCCTCCATGAACTTGATGAAGCTCTCTGCTGCCTTCTCATCTCCTATCAGCAGCAGATCATCCACGTGGATGGTGAGGTACAAGCGACCATCTTCTGAATCATCGCTTTGCTGGGCCATCTTCATCATCGTGGGTTGCATCACATCCTGCATCAGACCATATTCTTTGGCGACTTTGCAGAAACCCTTGAACCACTGTGCTGCTGCGTTCCGCTGGCCTGGAAGGTTCTTCTTCAACTTGTACTGGGCATTCTCTGTCACGATCATTGCCCGCTCATCCTCTGGCTGGTCCATCAATAGGAAAGCATCTTTCACATCTAAGGTGTACAGCGCCAGACCTGTTCTCATCTGAAGTTGCAACAGCATTCTGACCACCACTGATGCCGACGTTGGAGCAAAGGCATCTTCAGTAAAGACAGACCACTTGAACTGCCTGCCCACCAGCCTTGCCCGTCTGAACCATCCACCCTGCTCATCTAGATGTTTCCATGTGATGACCATTTTAGATGTCAACACATATGATCCTTCTTCGGCCTCTTCACCATCTTTCATCCTCTCGAGCACTCCCATCGCTTCAAGGCGTGCTTCTTCATGCTTGCATGCCTCTGCATCCAGTCTGGCCAATTCATCATCACTGACCACAGGTGGCTTGCCCTTCACAGCATCAATCTCCTCCTCCTCGTCGCTGACTGCATTGAGTTGCTGTTGCAGGGCTTCTTCAGCGACCATGTCATCACCACCTGGGAATTCTTCTTGGATGCTCCTTACTCGACGCTTGGGGCTCATGCGTCTCTTCTCATCATCTTCATCGTCCCAAGGGAGTGCATATTCTCTCTTTCCGAGCAGGGGTGGTGTAACAGGTGCAAGATTGCCAACCACATCTTCAATCCGCTGTCTCTTCGGACTGAGCTCGTGTGCACCTGGTGGAAAGTTTCCAGCTGGTTCACCCTTCATTGCCTCAGGAATCGGCAGTCGGACGATCTTCCGCTTCGGGCTCTCTTCAGTCTCACCCAGCGGTAGACGATGGAGACTTCTCGGATCCAATGATCTTGAATCTGATTCACTGCTCCTGGCTGCCACTGCCGTTGCTGGAGGTGGTGCTGCTGATGCTGGTGTGGCTGGTACAGGTACAATCACTGGGGTCTTTGTACCTGGTGGTTTGGTCCCTCCTGGCTTCTTGCCTGGTGTTGGAGGTGCGGGTGTTCTGGCTTGTCCTTCTGCCTGAAATCCTGGAGTGGTCGGTCCAAGAGCATGACCGTACATACCAACAGCCACTTGCTCACCAACTGTCTTGGCCTCTTTCTCAACCTGCTCATCTCCAGTTGCTTCCTCCGCCATGTCAGCCACTCGTTGCCTTGCAGCAAACTTGGTCTTCATCAGAATGCCCTGCACTGAGTATTGCCAGGGTAGACCTCGACAGTGGACCAACATATGGCCATCAAACTGCTCCGGCAACCTCCTGATGGATCTCGCTTCGACGGCTCCTGATCTAGTCAGGCAAATGTGGCTGTCACTCCAGGAGCTCTTGCCGACCCAAACACCCTTCCGGTACACAGGGTCTCCTTTGCGCTTGAATGAGGCCACATCTTTGAACAGTACGGTTTCTCCCCATAGTGCCACTTTCCCCACATAGCGTCTGTCGGTGAGGAATTCGAAGGATGTGGACCCGTTGATGACCCGGTACCTCAACAGTAGCCATGCTGCGTGTCGGAAGCTCCAGGGGTAGCAATGCATGTCACCAGTCAACTTCACTCCAGCTTTCTCCTCTGCGAACTGCCTGAGGGTGTTGGCCAATTTGCGGACCGACTGGACAGTTCGCTCAGCCTGCCCGTTTGATGCATGCTGATCCCTCGATGTTGTCCGGATCTCCGCGGTCAAGCCAAGAGTGGCTCGAGCATGCTGAATTGCTCTCAAGATCTGCCGGGTTGCTCGCTCACCATCGGACTGGAAGATGATGGGCTGCGTATTGCATACCTGCATGCTGAATCTGGTGAGCTCTTCCGTGACTTGCTTGAGGGATGCACTGCCTTTCGCTTGCACCGGGATGCAAAGTGTGGCCTTCGATTCTGACTCGGCCACATACAATGCAGTTCCCCACTGTTGATCTTCAGGGGCTCCAGAGGTGAACGTGAAGCCATAGTCGAAACTGATCACTGGCCTTCCTCTGTCCTTACGTTCACCTTGGCTGTCTTTCGTCCTTGGGTCTTCTTTCGACCTGGTGGCTACACATTGCTGGCACCATGACTGAAACGGTAGGTGCGTCAGCTGATGAAGCTCTTGTTCATGCCTGCTGGGCAACTTCGGTGTCTTCAGTGGCACTGCTTCACGTCGACTTTCAGAGAAGAGCCTTTGTGCCACCTCGTACGCCAACTTCTCCTCCTCCTGATGCTTGTATCTCTGGAGCCTCCTCAGCACTTTGATCTTCGACCCTGAAGTTGCCAGGCCCAGTTGTTTGCAGATGTCTTGGAGGTCCTTCAGCTTTGTCTCCTTGTCGAACCACACATCATCTATTTGAACTCTCATCTCGTCAGGATCGACGAATTGAACGTCCTCGGCAATCTCAGCTCTTCCTCCACTGCCTGCTGCCAGCATAGGGAACTCACCACCTTCTTCATCACGTTCATCATCTGGCCACGAGGACGGTTCTCCTTGAAGTAGTGGATACTGGCTCACAGGGACCTCTGAATTCCAAACAAAGTAGTCTCGAATCAAGCCTGGGGCCACAAAGGTCAGCGCAGGTCGAGGTCCTCCTGGGATTGCTCTAAATGGCAATGGTGTATCTCGATACACGGCCAGACTTTCTATCTGCTCCCAGAGTCCGCTATTGTCCTTTTTCTTGAGCAGCGTCAGGCGTGCACACCATTCGTCACCAAAGGACATGCTAGGATCCAGGAAATGTGTGGCCTGAGGGCTCGAATGGACCACGATGCCATTGGGTAGTGCGTGCCACCCTGGCACTTTTTCCAGCAGCGCCAGCTCTCTGGATATGTATCCCTGCCGTGACTGTCCTTCTTCTCGAACTGGAAAAACATGATTCTCATCAACTTCCACGTCCACGACAGGACTATCTGACAGCTCCATGGGCTCACTCTTCACTTCTCCACATCTCAACTTCCAGTTCGCCCATCTGGCCATTCGCGACTTCACCTTACCATCTTCGCTGCTGCTTGCTTCCACCACCACATCACCCGACTCTTCAGTGGTGTAGCCTGGTGATCTAAGTTCCTCTGCCTCCATCTCCGCTGTCTTTGACTTCTTTGTAGGTGCTTCCTCTATTGCTCTATCTTCTGCTGCATGCGGCTTTTGCTCTGACAACTCCTCCATCAGGGCCAATGTTGCTCCATCCTCTGCATCAACAGCCCGTTTCACTCCTCGTTCACCTCCTGCTTGATCTGGATGACGCGCGCCCTCAATTGAGCCAGTTGCTGACTTCTCGACATTCTCAGCCTCTTCATCAACGGGTTTGGCCATGTCATTCGCAGTGACTGCATTCTCCTTTGGCACATCGTCATTCTTGGAAGCTTCATTCTCCACTGTCAAGGGCTCATCGTCCATGTCATCTGCTCTAACCGCACAGACCTGGACATCCATCACTAAGGAATTGCGCTCCAGTCGTGCGGGAATCTTCATCTTCCTTTCAGGGTGCTCGACATAAAGACCATCTTGATCTCTTGACAACACCCAGCCCTGTTTGAGCAACCGTCCAAAGCTCAGCAAAGGATGTGATACTCCAACTCCCAGGGCGAACTGTTCAACAAACTCAATGAGCTCTCCATCACGGGTGTAGGCCTGTAGTCGCAGCCTGCGATTTCCTGAACTCTTGATTGCACCACCTTGAGCATCCATCATTGACACCGATCGTGAGGTGCCCGGCATACCCATGGCATAGTACTCTTCCGGTGCTACTGATACATCTGCACCAGAGTCCAAGGTCAAGGCAATGGTTGGTGCTTCTTGCCTGACCATGCAAACTCGAACCTTCATTGCTTCTTCATCACTGTATTGGGCTCGTGGGTCATGTCGTAGGTCATGATCTCCTGTACTTTCCAAGCTCGAAGTTCCAGGTGGCTCAAACTCAACCTCGCTCTGGCATTCATAGAAGGTCTCTTCCTCATTCTCATTCTCCACTTCTCGCACGGCCAAAATGGCCATTGCCAGGTTCTCATCATCATTCTCTGTCTCCAACTCTTCCGCTGAGTCATCTTGCGTCAAGTCGAAGATCTCCATAGTCGCCAGACCTGTAGGCGTGACCAGTCGCACTCTCCTGACTCCAGCCCTGTATGTAGAGTGGGAGGTTTGACCAGTTGACGCTCCAGTCGCCTGACTCTGATCTCGTCCTGCCTGAGTCGTATGTTGACTCTTGTTCAACTCCTGGCCATCGTGCTCCTCAACCTTGTTGATCTTCTTGGGAGCCCAACATTCCCGGGCAAAATGCCCAGGCTTGCCACAATTGTGGCAGGTCCCAACTCCTCCTTTGCCCTTCTTTCCATCCTGCTTGCCAGAGCTCTTCATGCCCTTGCCACTCTTTTTGCCTCCGTCCTTGGACCAGGAGTTCTTGCCTTTCTGACTCTTCCCTTTGTCCTTTCCTTTCTTGCCCTTCTTTCCACCTTTCTTGCCGCCCTTGGACCAGATTGCATCCACCTCCATTGGACCTCCACGATCCTCAACGTCCATCAGCGGCTTGACATTCATCTGTAGGCCCCCATCACTCATCCACCTCTGGCTGACCTGCTCATACATTTCGATCTTTTGTCGAAGGTCCTCGAACGTGGTGTCATCCTGCAAGGTCATCTGGATGTGGAGCCTCAAGGTGGAGGGCAATGCAGCAATCACCGAAGCGATTTTCAAGTCATCCGGGTAGGTCGCATTGGCACTTCGTTCATACTCTCTCACCATCAGGTCGAACTGGGGCAACTGCTCGGTCACGGTCTTGTTCATGTCAAACTGAATCTTGTTGAGGGACTGGATCAAAGCCAATGACCTCTGTCTCGTCTTCGGCTGCAAGTCCCTCGTGAGTGTACGCCAAGCCTCAAGCCCATTTTGGTTGGCCACTCCTCTCACCAAGCGTAGTGGTCGTTGCTTCATCAAACCTGTCAGCAATGAGTACAGGCGCTCGGACTGTGGACGGATGGTCGGCAGTGCATCGTTGATGGCATTTTCCTCTTTCTCTGCTGACTTCATATGGGCCAGCATCTGGGGATCTACTGCTCCAACGAATGTCTCGAACTGAAACCGCCAATCCATCCATCTATTCAACTCCTCACTTCTATTCTCAGGGGCGAAGTTAGTCGGTGGCTTCAGGTGCTTAGTAAACCCTGAGCTCCTCTGGACCTCGATGAGTCCGTGAAGGGCCTGAACCAGCCCTTGGACCCCACTTATGGAGCTAGCAGCTCCAGCGGTCGCCCCACCAGTGCCCTCGTGCTCTTCATTGCCGGCCATGTGCGAGACCCGGCTTCTGACACTCACCCGGGATTTCGGTGAGCCGCTCTAACCCCGGTGGTTTAGGGTACCCTGGAGTTGCTGGGCCTACCAGCAGAGCTCCGCTACCATGAAACAAGGCATTCGCCGTTTTACCACCTGCGGACCGAACGAAACTTGGGCCTCGTATGGGCGGTGAAAGTGCTCCTACATCCCACATGCCATCTTGTGTCATGGATTGAATGAACTTCCTGTAAACTCTGTCATATGTGGTACTTCTAGTACAGTCAGTTGCCTCTTGATTGAGCAACAATTTGGGAATGGGCATCGTTCAAAAGAACTCTACTGGCAGTTCAGGGGACCCCTGTGGATTTAGATCCTGAAGAGGCTCTAGCAGCCAACCCAGCCCTATCCACAATCCTTACAGGTGCGACGACGCTGCAACACAACACCAAAGCACCTCTGAGTTCAGCTTTGCAGTCTCTCCCATGTCGGCCCAGTGAATCTGCAGCCACGGGACTCAAGCACCCGGCCATGTGGCGATGCGACGTCGAAGCAGGTCAAGAGATCAGGCTGGTCGTGTGTCACCTGGCTCAGGAGCAAAACGACCACGGATCCAAGTTGTTCTAAACGTTTGGGGACAATCCGCCAAACCTCTGTCACACATGCGTTTCTACAACCCTCCTTCAGTAGTGAAACCTCTCATCAGTATCTAAGGGTTCCGAGGCAGACCCCAGGGGGCAGACTGATACAAAATGTGTCAAAGTGAAAATCTGCTTACAGTACTTGTTTACGTTGCGAGACCGTTGTTTCTTTGGTCACAAACAAGCAGAGCGTCGCGTCGCGAGACGGTTGCACTGGGATTCTCCAGCACCTTGCAGCCAACACGGAGCTAGTGCCAGCTAGCTTTGGACACTTGGCCACAAGTGTTTAGCTGTATAAATACGAACACACGTCAGCCGTCAAACGTTTTTGAACCAAGTGCCAAACAACAAATCACCTCTATAGTCTAGTGATGTATCAATGCAAGTGCCTCTATATAAATAGTTTTCAAACATCCTCCACTCAAAGCATCTCAAGCTGCAGCCCTGTTGCTACTCATCATATCTTGGAAACCAGCAGCACGCCAAGGACTCTTCCAAACCCTGGTGCTGCACAGTACGGATGCTCCAAAACTGAAGTGGAACGCAATGTCTTGGGTTCTGCGCCCGCGCTCACCTACGACTCAAAGCCCAGGACTGAAAAATCTGAAAGCTCTGTGATATAGTGGATACATGTGGATATGTTTTTTGATTGCATCATATTGCATCTGAAATGAGTGTCACCGAAGAGAACACAACGTTGACTCCACGAGGTTGCAAAAAATATGCACACTCATGAAGGCGCATGGGATTCAGTACTGGCGCCAATGCCCTCTAACCCCAATAAAAATTCCGAACGTCTCATCATTTCGATCACTTTCTCCATTTTTCACACCACCCACCACTATACCTATCACCACCCGCCGTGACCGTCCCACACTCGGCATGCAGGCCTTCCACAGTCCCCAAACAGCATCGCGGTGCTCAGCCGCCTGTATTTTGTGAAAGCAAGGATACGATCAACTGCCCTGTTCCAACGCAAATGCTGCCCCGCCTTCTGATGAACGGCAGCCCTACACTTCAGAATATATATCTTCTACAACTTGTTCTTCGTCTACGTAAGGATCCTCAATCAGAAAACGCATCCTACTGCAAGCAGGCTTCATATCAACATATTGGAACAGTTTTTTCTTTTGGCGTGGCTCATGATCATTGCTGATGGGAATCAGAGCCAGCGGTCCATTCCTCTGGCAGCATCCACATCACTGGAAACATCCATTCCACCATGGCTGCACTGTTCTCTTGGCTGGCAATTTCCTTTCCTTGTTTTTGTGATTGCTTTCTATTTTTTGCATCAGAGTTGGAATTAAGTGAGTACCTAAGGGGCCTGGCATCCTTCAAAAAGTGACCTCAAGAAATCAAAGTTGATAGTCAAGCAAAGTCTTAGCTCTATAAACTAAAGGGTCCTGCAAAAAATGGAGAACATTGATGGTAAACCTTCGTAAAATGCTTGGCCTGAGGTTCTTTCGAACACACGAGTCCTTTGAAGGGCAGAACGGTGAATCTCCAAAGGATAAATGTACATGGCGATGGAGCCAAATGGCAAAAATTCCAGGGACCCTGATTTTTTTTCAGGAGACAAAGGAACTCATGATCAAGGCGATTTCTGAATCTCCATAGCATTGTTCTGCTTCGCATTCAATAGAAAGTAATCAATGTCGAATCAACATGCTTGAGGCACCAAGATGAACTCACAATGACCACAACCCCTCCATAAAACACGTTTGCGAACAACTCTGTTTGCTGACATGAAACATCCAGGTTGCTGCTCACAAGTCCCCATCACTTTCCTTCTGGCAACGCCCTGCGACTGCAAAACGCCCACAAAACGCAAATTCTCGGGTGCGGCGCGCTTTTTGCGTGGGTGGAGCGCGCATGCGCATTGCCCTTGTGCCAAAACGCGCAAAGTTGCCAAATAGGATTGCTTTAGCAGACTGTTGCGCTGGCAGCACCAAGTTCTGCGCCTGCCACGCAAGTCATACGGGCACAAAAAAACAGGAATAAAAAAACCCTGACAAGACCACGAATCTAAGTTGTTTCCAGTGGCCACCATCTCGGAGGGGGCGAACTTCAGTTCCACTGGGGAGGCCCTCCGTGGCGAGACCGGCTTTGCTACAATTTTTGGACTCCAAAATGAAGGCCACAAGTTCACCGGAAAGTGCAATTTATCTTTGGACGCATCAATGGCCAAGCCCACCCCCAAGCGTTTGCTAAGAATGGTTGAGCGCGCAGAAACTTGGAATGCCTTGCCGCAAGTGCGGAGCGCCCCGTTTGAAGAAGCGCCGGGACTACAATGTTAAGGTTGCGCCTCGTGGGTTCTGTTGGTCTTTGTGTTTTCTTGGAAGTTCCTCACTCGGACCCAAATAAAACTTTGTAAAATGCAAACGGGGTGTCGGTACCGCGCATTGTAATGGAGGGCCCGAGCGGTACCGAAGCGGTACCGAGGCGGTACCGCGCATTGTAGTAGAGGGCCCAAGCGGTACCGAGGCGGCACCGCGCATTGTGAAAGAGGGCCCGAGCGGCGCCGCACATTGTGATAAAGGGCCCGAGCCGCACTGAAGTGGTACTGAGGCGGCGCCGCACACTGTAATGGAGGGCCCGAGCGGTACCGAGGCGGCGCCACGCATTGTAATAAAGGGCCTGGGCCGCACTGAAGTGGTACCGAGGCGGTACCGCGCACTGTAATGGATGGTCCGACCCAGCCCAGAGCTTGATTGTGGCCGCAAGAACCTCATATAGTGCGTCGCAAGGGAAAATTTAAATGTTGATGCTTAAGATGGAACCGGGACTCAGGCGGCAGCCTGGCGTAGCTTGCAACAAAAAGCTCAAGGACGTGAGCGCAGAACCTCAACAATATCTTTTCAAAACCCTATCCTTCACAACATGCTTCAAACAACGTCAAACAAAACGAAACAAGGTTTCCTTGCCATACTGAATGACAGGCTCCACGGCGCCCAAATTTTCGCCTAACATCTCCCCACCCTTCTTCCCTCTCATCCAAAACTGCGAAGACTCGGTTCACAACGTTTGGCCTCAGGGCGCTAGAACCACAAGCATTGTTGCAAACAAACACGCACCAAGCTGGAAAAAACAGCGTGAGCTTGATTGTTATCTCACTGGTTTTCCAAACTTCTTGCTCCTTCACGGGATGGAAAAAAAATGTTTTTCTGGGCACCAGTTTGCGGTCCAAAAACCACAGCAAAAACCGGTCTCGCCACAGTTTCAAGAACATGTGTGAACATAAATGTTCGCAGGGCAGAACAAGTGCTCGCGGTGCTGCAAAACCATAGAAGCCCAGCGGTGTGGGAAACCCTGCAGAAACAATCTATATAAACTTGCTTGCTTTTTTCGCTCGGTGACAAAAAATTCCGCCGTTTTGTTTCTGGACCCCAAAATGGAGTCCATTCACTCAGTTTCAATTTGATTTGCTTGTGTCGGGGCCGCTTTCTGGGGTTGGGCGAAAAACAGTGCAAGTTTCCATTCGCGACAGAGGTTTTGCATGGCGTCGGGTGTTCAATGGCTTTGCAGCAAGAGCAATTGTTCTCCACGCCCGGCAAACACATGTCCGCACATGTTTTTTTTGCACGGATGGAGCATGTGCGCAGAGAATGCACAGGTCAGCTTGCGCTACTCTCCGGCCAGAAAGGGGCAAAAACAAGCAAACCAAAAACCAAACAAAAAACCAACCACCGAAAACAAAAAAACAACCACCCCGAAACAAAGAACAAAACCGCAGGCGAGATTCAGGTGAGTCACGCGGGTGAGACGAAGTGAGACGGAGGTGAAACCTATCTGGAGCAGTGAATTGTTGCAAACCCTCAGAGTAAGCAGTGCGCAGAGTAAGCAGTGCGCAGGGCAGTACTGTCTTGTTTTTGGAAACACATGTCCGCACATGTTCTTGAACTGGAGGCGCTCCGTGGCGAGACGGTTTTGCTGAAATTGGACTCCAAAATGAAAGCCACAAATTTTCCGGAAATGCAATTCACCTTTCCAGTAGCCAAGCCCACACCCAAGCATTTGTTGAGAATTGAGCGCGAAGTCACTTAGAATGCCTTGCCGCAAGTGCGGAGCGCCTCTTTGAAGTAGCGCCGGGACTGCAATGGGTGCGTTTCGTCGGTTTCTGTTGGTCTTTGTTGGAAGTTTCTCACTCCGACCCAACTTGCGGCGGATGTTCACCACAAGCATTGCAGCAACAAACGCGCACCAAGCGCGCAGCCGCAAGATCTCGCAAAACGCTGCGCCTGCGCAGCGAAATGCATCACGTTTCTTGCGCGACATGTCCTTGTCGCGCAAATCACAATGGAATAGCGGCGCAAACTGACACGCGACGCCTCCATGCAAACTCACTTGCAAAAGCTTCCCCCAATGGCAGCAAATTTG